ATGTGAATTCTCAATTATGTACCTCAAAAAAACCGATGAAATATACACCGCATTAATGGCCTTCAAATAAACCGGAGAGGAAGCACCAGATGTTAGAATTGCCTCTTGTAAACACCATGAAAGGTGAATCAAAACCTTATGCTGACCTTATGCCCAGTATGTTCCTTCAAGTCTGAATTTTTTTTGGTTCTGCTACTTACTCATTATTTTTTCGAAATCTTTGTATAGTGTATACACAAATTCATTACATTATGCATGCATGACCTAGCATGTAAATAACATTCCAATTTTTATAATATTTATAGCATTCACTTCAAATAAATTTAAAGGCACCAATGCAGAGAATTTTGGAAGCTATTTTGTGTGGAAAATATTACTCAAAGGAATCATCGTCATGGTCGATTCAATATCATAGTGAAAATTAAAAATCCCTAAATTAAATATGATATATTTTTATATAAATTATGTTGAAGTAAAATTTTAATATATTTTTCAAATAAATTATGTAAAATTTAATATTAATTAAATTTAAAATTATACATGATATATTTAAATAATAAAATAATATATTATCGATGATTTTTTATATAAATAATTTTTATTTAAATATATTATCGATGAATTTTTATATAAATAATTTTTATTTAAATAATTAGAATTTCACACCTTAAATAATATAGAACAAGGTCAATTTGATAAAATATACATTCAAGTAATCTTTTATTCCTTCAACCAAACACGATAATCTTATATTCTTACTAAATCAACCAAACATAATAATATAATATTTTCAGTAATCATATTCTTTGATAATCTTTTATTCTCACTGTACGTTTGGTTCGTATAAGTCTTACTCGTTCACGGATTTACAAGCCAAACATTTAAAGAAAAAATCTACCCTGAATCTCAGCAAACCAGAGGAAAAAGAAAATTCAAATAAACAAGCATTTGGGCTTTGGCAGCCAAAACAAACATCACCGAGTAAATCAAAACACAACAATAGTTGCCGACGATGCTTCTTCTTCATCTATAACGCTGAAAGAAAACAACCCAGACTTTTTATTTGAACTTGGTTTCAAGCTTAGCAGGTGGCGAGGCTGAAAGAGGGGGAAAAGGGGTTAAAAAATTGAAAAGGATATGGCAAGTACGAGAGAGGCAAGCTCAGAGGGAAGCAAAATCAAGGGTGTGCACACTTATGGAGGTAAATATGTTCACTACAATGTTTACGGTAACTGGTTTGAGGTCTCCAGTAAGTACGTGCCTCCTATTCGTCCAATCGGTAGAGGTGCTTATGGCATTGTCTGGTAAGTTTTTTCAGTAATTTGTTTATGTTAGTTGAATGTTTTTTCTTCAAATATTTGATGGGTTTCTGTTTGTGTGTATGTGGTGGATTTACTCTTTTGAGGATATTCTTTGTTGAATCATAAAAAAAGTTGTTTTTGTTTTGTAGATGATATGTTTTATGTATTAATAATCAAAGAAACTTCTTCTTATCTGCTGATTTTAAAGCAGCTGATGTTGTTTTTAGCTAAATTAAGAGTCTTTCCTTTGGCAACCTTAGAGTTTTTCCGTGATGGAGTTGCTGGCCTCCCTGATACTAAGATTTGGGGATCTTTTTTTTTTTATTGATTTACCTTCTTTAACTTTAGTTGGAACAGGATTGAATTAGTTTGATTTTTATGAATAAATAAGTAGCATATCAAACCTTATAGCATAAATTTATTTACATGTAATGTGTTAACCGTAGTTCTTGTTCTTAAGTCTGTTATATGTGATTCGACTTGTTAATGAGTGCGGTTTAAGCGCAAGAATTTGGACTTACAAGTTTCGGGATTCTTCGAAGAGTATCCTGCCATGTTGTACTTCAGAGAAGAAAGAGTGAGGTGAAATGAAATGATGGTTTGCTTATGGATGGAAAACATCTTTGAAAAGCTTTCTTGTGTTTTCACATTTGACTTGGGATTTTGATACTTCATTAGTGTGGCTGTGAACTGCATCACTTGTATTTCTTTTTTCATTTCCAGTGCCGCTATTAATTCAGATACTCGCGAGGAGGTTGCTATTAAGAAGATTGGTAATGCATTTGATAATAGGATAGATGCCAAAAGGACATTGAGAGAAATAAACTTCTTCGTCACATGGACCACGAAAATGTAAGACGGACTCTGTTCCAGAAATTGCAATTTTATTTTCATTTTTTAGGCATAGTAATGCAAATAACATAACCTTGGAGAGTAATCAATTAAGAAATAATCCATCTTTTGTATTCCCACATCCCACCTCCCTCTTTAATAGAGCTCAGAATGACTTTCTGGCTTCTATGACCCACCATATGCATTTCCTTTGTGGTTCTTACATTCTTCGGTCCTGGCACTCCTATTTTTTGTTGTTATTTTTGCACTTAGGAACACCAAGTGCAATCTGTTGACAAGCTCTTAGCAAATAATGAGATGCTATCTAATGCAGTATGAAGGATGATTGAGATGCTTTCTTATTGGGATTCATGAATTATGGTGGTTTTATCTCGATTACTTGTGCCAAAATTAAGGGAGAGATACTATAATTTACAATCGGAGCTAACATGGTTTCACAGTTTGTTCATTTAGCCTTTTAATAGAAAATACCTTTATGCTTACATGTAAAGCAGAACATGTTCAATGGGAACCATATATCTTCCCTAATTGAGTGAATTGATCTGCACAAGTGCACATACGTAGTATGAGTTAAGTTTATTCTTGTAGCAATCTGCTGTGTATTTATTATGCATGGAACTGCTACTCAATTCTCTCCATATAGGTTATTGCTATCAAGGACATCATTCGACCACCAAAAGAGGATGCCTTCAATGATGTTTACATTGTTTATGAATTGATGGACACCGATCTTCATCAGATAATTCGCTCTAACCAACCATTGACAAATGATCATTGTCAGGTTTGAATGAACGGTTTTCAGAGACATTTATGTTACTGATATAACTTCTCTTTAATTATTGAAGGAGCTAGTTCTTCCTTTGAAGGGTATGGGCATGTGTTTTTCTTTTTAGATGTTATTATCATACTTCTACCAGAGCCTTGATTGATTTGAATAATGGAGGAAGCAACAATACTATATTGGAGCTGTTGACTAGACATATACCCTCATATTAGTGCTCTAAACTTAATATGATAAAACAATATCCATGACACTCATCTGACTGTATCGAGCAAACCAGACTTGCTATCCGTATTTTAAGAATTTAAGGAGCGCCGGGCTTCATATGCAGGCCTTAATGCCGAGGTCTTGCTGGCCCTACTTGAAAACATTTCTCACAAGATGAGCGAACATGAATGATAACATTCATGCAGAAACCTTTAAAAGAAGCCTACAATCTAACTTTCTGCTCTGAAATTTATATAACTGCATGTTTCCATACCTTGATTTTGTATGACAATGCATAAACATGACACTGATACTGAATGAAACCTTTGCAGTACTTTTTATATCAGTTGTTATGAGGGCTGAAATATGTGCACTCTGCAAATGTTTTGCATCGTGACCTTAAGCCAAGCAATCTGCTTCTGAATGCAAATTGTGACCTTAAGATTGGCGACTTTGGATTGGCAAACAGATTTCACGACGGAGTATGTTGTCACCCGATGGTACCGTGCACCAGAGTTGCTCCTTAATTGTTCAGAATACACTGCTGCCATAGATATTTGGTCTGTTGGTTGCATACTCGGTGAAATTATGACAAGAGAGCCTCTGTTTCCAGGCAAAGGTTATGTTCATCAACTGAGACTCATCACAGAGGTAGTCAACTTCTACTGAAGTATTCTTCATGTGGTCTCACATGATCTATGATCCTAGTCCAGATTTTTCAGAAGAAATGTCTAATTTGAAAATTGAAGTTCATTGGTTAGATTAATGTGTACCATCTTTCTATTTTTAGCAGCCTTTGTGGCTTCCCCTTCTTTTAAATGCTCTCTTTCTTTTAGTAAACCTCAGTTTGTCAATGTTTTTAACCTTGAAAATGCTTCTTTTTTTGGGTCAAAAGTTGATAGGTTCACCCGATGACACCAGTCTTGGATTCCTTCGAAGCGATAATGCCAAAAGATATGTTAGACAGCTTCCACAGTGTATGAAGCAACAGTTTTCAGCTAGATTCCCAAATATGTCTTATGGGGCTGTTGATCTGCTAGAAAAAATGCTTGTATTTGATCCCAACAGAAGAATTACAGGTACAAACCGAGAACTAGAGTTTCGAGCTCATCATTTCTGATGGTTCCTTTTTTTCTCCTTTTGGTCTCCACGTATACGTGATTGTTTTCTTACATCTTTTCGGCAGTTGATGAGGCACTTTGTCACCCATACTTGGCATCTCTTCATGATATCTAGGATGAACCCGTCTGTGCTAAGTCTTTCCTTTTCGATTTTGAGCAATCATTATGCACCGAAGACCAGGTCAAAAGCTTATCTGGAAGGAATCTGTGAAATTCAATCCACATCCTACCCATTAAGAGACTCAATCCTTCGAGTATTATGGACAAATATAGTAGTGGGAACGACTTCTCTCTCCGGAATTTCCTAAATATGATGTTCTTCATATTCATCAGAGTCGGTAGAAGTTAGGAATACCATTCAAGTTTGCTTCCTTGTTGAGCTGAAGCTTACCTGGTTTGTGAGATTGGGGACTCAAATGTGGTCGACATTGCCCCGATCGGATGTTTTTTTGGTTCATATATGATTGGAAACAGCCATAGAACTTCCTTCTTGATACTATATAATGGAAGTTCAAGAGCTCGGTGCAAAGATTGTGGATGTATTTATCAATGACCCTTTCTTTTGTTAATTTCAAATACTCTTTTTTTTAAGAACTCAAGCATCAAAACAACCAGAGTAAAGAACAGCCTTGTTTCTTACATAGAACAAATTTTGTAATTATATAGAACAAATTTTGTAATTATAACTTCATGTTACATAAAAGAAATTGATATCTTAAATTTATATTATGTCACAAATTTCTGTTTAAGACTTAAACTTTGGCACTTGAGAAGCTGTCTTCTGGAAAATTGCAGGCATTGTCTGGTCCTTGATCTGTTAGCAGATTGCAGGGCTGAGGTGTAACATTACTTGTCACACCAGCAATTTCAGTGCAATTCCATTGAATCTTCTTTGGCTTTTGTGTTAATCCAATGGTGGCATTTGATATGCAAATTCCAGAGAATGGATGGCCTGGAATTCCCTCCAATCTAGCTGCCATTGTCACATTCTCAGCAATGATGTCTCTGAAATTGATGTTCTGGATAACAGGGAATGCATTCGGATCATAATCGTTGTCGGGATGAGAACCATAGTTCCCTGCCATCCAGAACACCATTTTCATAGTTTTCATGGTCATCCCTCTCACATATACGTCTTTGATGTAGTTTCCTCGTCCGACGGCGGTTTTAATCCTAACAGCCGACTCAGAATCAATGCCTGTGATGTCTTCGGCCCTTACGTCCTCAATTCCGCCGGACATCTCACTACCTAGTGCAATCACTGCACTGAATGGTGAAATGCATGTGAGCCTTCTGATCACCAGCTGCTTTGTTGGCATACCAAACTTGATGCCATACTCATCCCAACCACTCTTAACGGCTACACAATCATCCCCGGAGACGATATAGCAGTCCTCGATCCGGGTATTTGTGCAAGAATCTGAAGAAAAACAATACCATTTTAAGGCCATAAGAAGTAAAACATGCTGCTGTTTAAGGTAGCCTTATCTGATACAGTGTCCACTTTCTCACCTGGGTTGATCCCATCGGTGTTCGGAGAAGTTACTGGTGCAAGGATAGTTAATCCTTGAACAACGACATTGCTGCATTTTAATGACAAAACGATGTTAGAACACAATACCAATGTTCCAGCAGCATGCTAAGGAAACCGAAACCCTAAACTCGAAAGCGAGAGGAGCAAAAACCTGCTATAAACAGGATGAACATTCCAGGAAGGGGAGTTCATCAAAGTGAGATTAGAGATTTGAACTTCATCTGAATACATGATTTCAATAAGGTAAGGCCTGGTGTATTTCAGCTCTCCCTTGTGGAATTTGTCCCACCAGGTAACACCCTGACCGTCAATAGTGCCATTGTCACCTGCAATATGTTGAAGTCCTTATTTTAGCACTTGATGAATCTATGAACTATTGATGTTGCTTTGATGAATCTCATTGATAATTAAAGTTCTCCACCAGTTATCACGACGTCGGTGAGGTTGGTTCCGAAAACAAGACTGATATATCTTCCGCCGTCGGCATCCCTTCCTCGACCATAGGACGGGAGAGGGTCAATGACAGCCCATTCACTCTCATCCTGGCGCAAGTTTCAGACACGAAAACCGGTAAACTTAAACCATGTCTCGAATTTTGTTTCGCGTAAAACGAGAAGGGTAGGTGTGGGTGTATGAGAGGTTCTAACCTGTGAGGCGAGAAGGGTAGCATCTTTGTGGATATAGAGAGTAAAATGGCTGGTAAGATTGAAACTACCAGTCAGCCACTTTCCTGCAGGAACAAGGAGTAGGGATCCACCATCTGATGCATACTGGCTGAGGTTGAAAATGGCAGCCTGAAAAGCCTTTGTATTCGACGTCACTCCATCGCCAACACCTCCGAAATCCGTCAATGAAGCACTGTACTTCCGGCTTTCTACTCCCTTTATGTCGATCGAAACCAGAAGTATTCCGAGTAGCAGTATGGTATCAAGAACCTGGTTCCTTCTTGGGGTTGTCCACATTTCCATTATCCACAAAACAACATTGGTTTTTGGTTTAGAGCAGATGAGTTTAAATAGAGGCCGATGTTGTAAGCAACGAGGGAAGCTTGTGGTGTGGTTTCAAGCAACATGTCATTCCTTTTTGATGTTTGTCCCTTGCAAGTTTCCATAGTTTTAAACAAAGGACCAATCAATGAAGAGGTTTACTATTCGTCCCCGGATTTAAATAGCGGTCCAGTATTGTTATATATAAAGGTGTTGTTCGAAATTGTTACTAATGTACAAGTGCGATACCTACAATGGTCACAATAACACATACTATTATCGCAATCACGATAAATATAATGCAATCTAAAACACGAGATGTATTGTGAAAGTAAAAATGAATGGTGGTTCTTGATAATGGAAATTCAATGGAATTTTGGTTGATGGGTCCACAATTTCACTACCCATGTTGACAGTAACTTCAATCACATGGCCAATGCCAACCCGTGAGCATACCTTTTCCTCACGGACCTAGCTTAACCTATTCTTCATCAACTCACCATCATTCAATAATAGTAAATATGGTAAAACTATGGTTTTGGTACTAATTACTATGCTCAAATTTAGATTTAGTCCACAAACTCTGATTATCATTATTTAGTCTCTCTTTTATTAATGGCACTAGTTAGTAAAATAGGTTAATGGCACTAGTTAGTGAAATCTATATTAACATAATGAGTTGGAAGGAACATTTAAAAAAAAAACCTATTTGGTGACTTCAGTGGTAAAATGAAATATCGTTCTCTTTAAAAATTCAAGATTCGAACTACGTCTGCAACGTATATGTATGTTGTTAATTATTTATACTAACTAACGATGTTATAAAAATAAAAATATTAAATCTTAAATTTAAGAGGGATTGAAACCATAATTTGACACATAGGATTATGTTTTTTTTCCCATCTTAATTGGCGTTATTGGGACATTACTCGAAAGAAGACGAAACTCCCATAATTTTTATTTTGTAAGAAAAAAACATGAACCAGAAGCAGCAGTCACGAGAACTGAACTTTTTAGCTAAGCAACAAAACAAGTTGGAATTAAAGTTGCTGTTTTCGTTGGTCTATTGCCAATTGATAACCAATTTTTATTTAGTTTTATTTTAGTGGATGTGAACTCATTGCGCAATCATAGATGAACCGAGGAGAGCGGGTGAGGGCCGACAACCTCTTAAAATTTTCAAATTCTCTTAAATATTAGATTTTTATTTAGATTTTTTTATTGATAATCTGTTTTTGCGGCTTAAAGTTTTGCAGGTCCAATCCTTTTAAAATTCTTATAAATTCGTTATTTTACCGTAAAATTATATGTCTTTTCTAGGGATGGGCATTTAACCTGATCTCAACGGGTTTTGACCCGACCCGATCGGGTCAAATTTTTCTAAAAAAATTCGGGCTCGGGTCGGGTCGGGTTTTTTTATGTATTGTTCGGGTTGGGTCGGGTTCGGGTTTAGGGTGAAAAAAACCCGACCCGGGAAAATATATAATTTTATCATATATATTTAGGAATAATTACAATAATACCCCTCTATATATTTTTTTTCAATTTAATCATTGTTTTTATTGAATAAAAATAATTTTTTTATTATTTTAGGTCGGATCGGATCGGATTTTTTAAACTATCTGTCGGGTCGGGTCGGGTCACGGGTGGAGATCCCCTTCTTCTCGGGTCGGGTCGGGTGGACCAAAAACCCGACCCAACCCGACCCATGCCCATCCCTAGTCTTTCCCTGCGTGCAAAAGCCTCCTTTCATCACTACTTTGAGATAACTTACAAGGTATAGATACACAGCCATTTCACTCCAAGATAGATCGTTTGATTTCTTGGCGTTTACACCAAGTTAAGAGGATACTTTCTATGCTAATCAGCAAGTAGAATCTATTTGATTATATAAATATGATCTATATAACAAGTAAATCATTATATGCTATTTATTATCATAAATATAGTTAGTTTATATTGAAGTGATCTATTACGGTTAAGGTTAATCGAACTTCAGTGATTAAATAAAGTATAATATAGATATTAAAATGATTATTTTTAATTGGTAATAAACTTATTAAAAAAAATCGAGTACGAATCGAGTTGTAAACTACAACTCGAATAACTAAATTTTTTTTAATAATTAGTGGGTTGATTTTCAAGTTTAAGTTGAGTCTCTCGACTATGTATCATAAATGTATAACACATATAAAAAATTTAAAGAAATACACATGTATTGTATATGATTATAAGAAACCATTTAAATTGGAATAAAATAATATTATAATATTATAAATATTTATAACCAAATTTAAACAGAAACTTGAAAATTCGACTCGACTCGAAAAATTTTGAAGTTAACTTCGAGTTATAAAATATGACTCATCAACTTAAATAATTTAAAATTTTTTAACTCGACTTAACTCGACTCAATTCAATCAAAGGCTCACCATTATCCAAATATTTGATCTAAAAGAACAAACCTTTATTATTAGGCCTATAAAGGAAGCCTTTTAGCCCACAATGGTCGGAGTGATTCTTTAAAACTACTGGTTCAACATAATACTCTTCAACCTGAGATAAATTATAAATATAGTTTTAGGTGTATTAATTATATCTCGAATTGAATCTCGGTGTCAGAATCGTTTTTTTTTTTGGTTAAAAATAAGTACTTAATGTTTTTAACGTTATATTTTTAGGTATTTTGACCATAATGATCGTTAAATTTGATCTTTATCTAATATGTGTCACGCATATAAAATTTTAAAAAAATATTTAAAAAGATACATTTTTAGGTGTTTAAATTATATCTCAAATTGACTTTTGGTGCCTAAAGAATTTTTTATTAAACTGTTATATTTTTTTATTTTATTATTTTTTATCAATAAAAATATTATTTTTAAAAAATTCAAAAAAATCTAACCATTCCAACGTCGTCTCTCTCCCTCTCATCCCCTCACCTTCGACGACATCGAAGGGTCACCACCAGCTAGGTTTTGTTCGGAGAAGGGCGAGGAACTCAATGATGGCGGCCATGTAACGTACGACCAACTGTAGTAGCTGGAATCGTCAGAAAATAACAAAGTAAAACTTAGAAAACTTGTGACCCTTCGCGACGCTTTTCAGAACGATCGATGCAGTTTCAGGTAGGTGACGAACTAAATTTTAGTTGTGGCAACAAGATAATTTTGTTAGTGTCAACGATGATGATCACGGACTGATGGTGGCTGACCAATGGTGAACTTTTGGGTTTTTTTTTAGTTTTTTAAAATTATAATATTAAATATATTTTTTAAAATTTTATATGCGTGACATTGTCAAATAACGACCGAATTTAATGGTCGTAATGATTCAGATACCTAAAAGTGTGACGTTGAAAACGTTAGACACCTATTTTTATAAAATAAATTCTTGAGTCACTAAAAATCAATTTGAGATATAGTCTAGGCACCTAAAAGTGTAACAGAGAGAACGATAAACACCTATTTTTAATAAAAATTCTTTAGACACAAAAAGTCAATTTGACATATAATTTAGACACTTAAAAGTGTATTAAGCCGTAAATAAATATACACATATTTCAAGTTTTAAAATTATGTTAGTGAAGTACTGCATACATTCAACAGGTAGCAAGTGAGAATTATCAAGTGGATTAAGTGATAAAAGAGAATGTTATATTCTTTAGAGATTTTAAGTTGGAGAAGCTACTATTACAGGATGTATGTGTTGTCAATTGATCAACTTAAAAAAAGTACCGATTACCGGAATTACCATTTATCGAGGACATCGGAGTTGGCAATCCGAGAATCCGATTTACGATATTCACCATCACAGTGCTTCTCCCTCCGTCTCTAACGTATATGATATTCGGCCAGAAGAATCAACAGCTCCAGGCTCCAGCATGTGGTGCAGATTCAATTTGACATATTAAAACATGGTGGCTTAACATGCAAGGCAATGAGACAAGATTTTGACATTGCCAAATCCTCCCTTCAAGCATGAACACCAATTAAATATGTTCATGTACACACATCCATGTTCCATAAAAACTTGGCAAATCGCATTTAAACGAACAAATCTGTCGGTCCAAATGAATCAAAAACACGATATAATCTTTGAAAGCCGCACGTGTAAGTTGGAAATCATACTATGAATCAATCCTGTCTAGAGTTGAGCAGCAAGGAATCTTGTACAGCCTCGCAAATTGGCTGGCATGTCACCCAACTCCCACCAATCCGCAAAACTCTACTTCTATTCTTCTTCCTTCTTCCACATTGATCGGATCCACCCGGCACCGGAACGAGATATCGATACGCTATATAAACTAACTAGCAAGCAAAGCTAGCCAAGAAGGCATTTCTAGTTCTAATTCATCCGACTTCTCAAGTAGGAGCTGCTCGAGGAAGGGGAAGATATCCGGATCGCCTGCATCATGAACAAGGTGAAAGACATTCGAGCCAGCACAGTCGGTAGGAGTTCCGGAGGCGGTAGACCGATCCCAAAGAGGGGACAGATCAAGTCGAGAATGGCAGCCAATGCGTTTAATTCCATTGTCTCTGTGCTATCTAAAGCCGGTTCAAATAGTGGCCGTTCCCGCCGGAGAACATTATGAGTAGTGATCATGTTAAACATTGTATTGTAATTTACTTCTTGAAGTATTAAAGCAATTAACATTATTTTATAATATTTTTGTTTATTTTATTTAATATATTAATTTTATCTAATAAGAATATGACACGTGTCATAATCGATTAGAAGAGAATTAGTAAAATAAAGATGTCAATCAAGGGAATTAAACTTATATCTCTTTAGAAAATAGCACAACACTTAACCATCAAGTAAAATCTTGAAATCATTATTATATGAATAAAATTAATATATATGTTAAACTAAGATTTACATTAATTTTAACTAATCATGTGGCCTAAGTAGTAAAAGAGAATATTAATTTTCTTTCGACCATCGACATTTTTCGAGTCTGTGTTGTCGATAAATTAAAAAAATTATAAATAAATATTACCTTTCGATCACCTAAACTCAACATCACTCGAGCATAATGAAGGTAAAAAATCC